TAAATCGGGCGAGCACCGGGCTTGAGCTCAATCCGGTGCTTCGTGGCCCCGATTTTTCCCAGCCGGCCGGTCCACATGTCCTTGAATTCGGACAGTACCTCGAGGATCTCCGAGCGTACCTCGTCGTCCTCGGAACCGATGTGGACATCCTCCTGCCAGGCGTTGGGGTCCTCCTCAGGGGCGGCAGTGTCTTCGGGTTTATCCGTTCCAACCGCCTCGAGGTGCGCCTTGGGCGGCGTGGCTTGTTCAGCCCCGCCCTTGTCCGTACGGTTATTGGCGGCTTCTTCCGCGCCATCCTTTGCGGTTGAGAGGTTGGAATTAAATATCCCTCCCCCTTCCTTAGCTTCGGCCGCTTCCGCGGCCGAGTCACCAAGGGTCAGGATGTGAGTGGGTGACGGAAGAGCCAGTCCGATTACGGTATGCTTCGGGATGTGAACCGAGCGGTGCCCAACATTGCTGAGCATTACCGAGAACGGGTTTTCGGGGACAACATCCATGACCCTCTGTGCCATGAGGGTCAAATTCTTGTGCGCGGTTTTTGGGGAGTTCTGTAAAAAACATAGCCCCTCCACCGGCGTGGCGACCCTCACCATGGCCTGCGTCATCGGGGGAATTGTCACCCCTCTGACGAGGCGGATCTTCCGTGACGGTGTGTTGGCGGGGAACGCCACCTGCTTCCGTTCGAGTTTATCCGACGGCGGTAGTTGTTGTGCGGTGTTCCTCGAGGCCATCTTGCGGTCGTGCCTCGAGGGGGTTGCTCCGACCAACGCCACGGGTGGCGCGTCGTGGAACACGACCTTCCGTTGCGGTGGGAGGATCGCCTTGACGTGGCGATCCAGGAAAGTCGTACCGAGGATACAGTCCACGGCGAGGTTCGTGACTACCAGGAACAGGACGCGCGCCACAAACTCACCGATTCGGACGAGCAAGGGGATTTACCCTAGTGCCTTCATCGCGCGGTTTGACACGTCGATGAGCGCTGGGCTCCGAACCAGTTTTATCGATGGTCGCCACGACTCGGCGACACACCGTAAATGGATGAGGTTCGGGCCGGCTCCTGAGTCAAGCACTGGCGTGATGGCGACCATCAACGCCTGCTTCTGACCAACCGTCGCGGAGATCTTGTAATTCTGCTTCTTGAAGAAGCAGATGGCCTGGACTTCCGTTCGGTTACCCGGCTGTGCTTCCACTGGCGCAGCCGGATCGGGGGTGTCTAAGCTTCTGAGGCTGGGCACGGGGAGAGACGTCGTCGCCTCTACGCGTCCTCCCCGGCTTCCCTCGTCAGCAGCAAGTGCTCGCGGATTTCATCCGCGGCTCGCGCCACGTGGTCTTCGGTATGGTCGAGGTGCGGTTCCTCGACCACGTTGACGCCGGCGGGGGACGTTTGACGCTGGTTTCGCCAAGCGGACGGCCCCTGGCGGTTGAACGGGGATCCCAGGCGGAGGCCTTGCCGGATGCGTAGCTTCTGGTAAATGGCCTCTCGTGCCTCTAGATGCTTGGCCCGCATGCTCGCATCGGCAACGACGGGGCACCCCTCTTGTCGGTGCGTGGTGTCCAGGCAGAACCAGCACGGTGGCGGTCCGGGAAATCTCTCGCCGGAGAACCGGACGCGTGGATCCTGCCCTTGCCTCCCGTACGGTCCTGTGCGCACGTCGCCAGGGTTGGCGGGTGGCACTGGGGTGCTCGCCGTCCAGGCTGCCGGAGACGGATAATAACTCGTCCGTGGCGAGCTCATCGAGGTCGGCGTGGCGGTTTGGTCCGTCACGGCCAGGATTGCTTCTTCAGCCAATCCCCCGGCCGCCGGGATGTCGGATGCCGACTCAACCGACAGCAGGGGCCTCGTCCTTGGGGTGCGGTCGAATCTTCTAGCCGCTCCGGACGGCTCTCGGTGAGCCATGGCTGACATCCCTTGTCGGCCGGAGGCCCGATTGGTTTCCCCGATCGCTTGCGCATAGCGAGCGACGGATTGGTAGTCCACATCCGGGTGCGTGGCGAGGTAATTACGAACCTGCGCGCACGTGGAGGGCAGTAACCCCTCGACGAACAGGGACTTCAACCGCCTGTCGGAGAATACCGTATCGCAGCAGAGTGCCTTGTCCCAGAGGTGGTCACTGTAGACCTCCTCCGTCATGTTTGAACTTTGACGAAAGGAGGTCACATCCCCAACCGCTTCGGAAATTACCTCGTCGGTAGCATAGGTGCGCAACAGAAAGTTGGCCACCTGCTGGTATGTCCGGAGCAGCTCGCACCGCTCCACGTCAACCGCCATGGTGTTACCATTGAGACGGGACTGGAATAAGGCGTGAGCCTGCCCGGTCAGGTAGAATTGGAAGCACCATACGGCGGCTCCCTCGGTGATCCCGTTGTGGTCGCACGCCATCTTGAGGCGTGCGAGGAATCCCAATACCGCAATCCGATCTTGACCACTGAACGTGTGGGACCTCATCTGCACGTCCAGTTTCTTCCGGTAACGGTTAATGTGCCGCGCTACTGTAGAGTCGTAGCGCGAGCTACGACGTTCCAGGCGGTAGGTTTTGTAGTTGACGGCCTTGGTAAACAGGTCATTGAGGGGCCTGATTACCGTGGGCCGTCGCTCGTCGCTCTTTGGGGCAGCCCGGCGGTGTCTGCTCGAGCGACGACGCCCCTCATCCGACTCGGTGTGGTAGTCTTCCGAATCGGACGAGTCGTGCCAGTACCGGTCTCGGCTTCTATCGCGGCGTGCCCTCTGGCCCCGCCTGCGAGATTCTTCCGAACCGGATGGGTCATCATCGGAGGGGTATCCTCCCCCTCCGGCATCGCCGTATCGCCCGTGGCGTGCCTCGCGGTTATCGCGGTATCGCCAGCGGCGTCCCTCGCGGTCTTCATCCGTCCTGTGACGGGGGTCTTCTGCGTCGGAATACCGGGTGTATTCCGCTTCGGTCCTGTGCGTGCCGGGTGCACGTCTTCTGCTCAACCGGTACGGGTCCCGATTCTCTGTCTCGGGGAGCCCCAGGCGGTTGTCTGTCCCGCGGGGGTCGCCCGTACCGGCGAGTATGGGGAGGACATTTTCTGTGGTCCTCCCTGTAGCACCGTGAACGGTTGGGAGATAGATGGCTCCGCCCTCCGGGTGAGGGTCCATCCTATCAGTTCCGGGTACGGCGCCGATCGGATCAGCGATATTAAAGCTTGAGCCCGGAACGGTTTCACGGCGCGGCGCCGGCGGCGGTACCGTGCCACCCGTTGCGGTAAATGTCGTGGCCAGACAGATGGCCACGGCCGAGCTAATAGCTCCCTTTAGAGCCAATGCGGTCGGAGATTCGTCCTCCTCCGCGGCGAGCGCTGCCACCACCTCGTCGCGTACGAGGGGGGCGACCTTGTCGTCCAGCAGGCGGAGCGCGGTGTCCGCATGCTCCGCCACCAGCCTTGGTGCCGTTCGGTCGAGGCAAGCCTGGACGACCTGAGGTAGTTCCTCGGCGATGAAATCCTCCATCCAGGTTTGTAGTCGCGGGAGTAACGCGTCGTACAGTACTTGTACGCGGTTCCCCCCACCAGCCGGTAGCCCGGCGGTGGTGTCCGAAACGGAAGGGGTCTTCTGGCCCCTGGTAGACGGCGGGCGTAGCAGGGCTTCCGGATTGTCGACCCCGGGGCGCTGTGAGCCTCTGCCACTGCGGGTACATGCTCGTCCGGAGGCGGTATCTTCTCCGGCGGGATCCGCACGGTTCATCGTCGATGATCACTGGCGATCGACGCGGTGATTTTCGATCTCTTTCAATCCGATCGGTAATTGCTCACGCTGGCGATCCAGTGCGCGCTCAACCTCTGTAGTTATTTCACCTCCACAAGAGTACCAAAATGTGGTATAACTACCTTCTTCCCGACCACTCGGAAACGAGAGGGGTTAGAGGTAAGGGAGCGCGCGCCGCTGGGTAACCCACGCCCGAACGCAAACCGTACGGAAGGACTCGAAAAGAAGGAAGGCTCACGTGACCGGTGACGCGCAGCCGGTCGGTGGTGTTAGATCCGGACGGCCGGTCACGGGTTAGAAGCCTGAGACTATAAGGGAAACCGGAACGGGATAGCAATTAGCCGTAAAGGGAAGGGAGGCGAGTCTGCCCCCGTTTACTGGAACGGGGCAGGTGCCCCCGGTCTTAGCCCCTAAGTGGGACGCCAGGACACCTGTCCCGCTACAGTAGCTGTTACTTACTGTATACCAGCTACTGTGCTAAATTGGCTAATTTGTGCCATTAACTACTACTTGCTAATTACTTACCGGACGGGTCGCACACGTGTGCCCGTGGCTACTACCGGCGTCGACGGTTATGCCACGTGTACGCCGTGGAGGTACTACTGCGCTTTCCGAGGGCGCGTGCATGATTGCTACAGTAGTAACCGCCCGTCCAGGCGGTGCTCATCTCCCATCGGGGGTCGTGGTGTGGAATTGTACCACAACCATTTTGGGATTTGATATATGGTCATTAGATATCAAGCAAGCGTACCTACAATCGGCCTCCAAACTCAAGCGACCAGTTTATACGCGACCAGAGTCCATCGCGCTTGGATCTGACGAACTTTTGCAGGTAATACGGCCACTTTATGGCCTCACGGACAGTGGGGATTATTGGTGCGAGACGAACTCTAGATTTCATGTCGACAAAGTGCGCATGCAACAATCCACGGGTGACTTCTCACTTTTGTTTCGTCGTCTATGCAACGGACTCGTGGCTGTATCAGGATCGTATGTCGATGACGTGATCCAAAGCGGCACACCAACGCAGAAAAGAAGGCTCCAGGCTATGTTGGCGAGAGAATTTGACGTCAAACTGTCCGATGCTAAGAAGTTTACGTACGTTGGTTTAGAATGCTACTCGACAGATCCATCAGAAAGCCGTATTTCTCAAGAAAAGTATATCGAAAGTCTGCAGTATCTGCAAAGGACCGCGTCCTTTACGGCATATCGCTCGCAACGAGCTAAGCTTGCGTAGCTGGTCCACACAAGGCCTAACATCGCATGTGCAGTGTCAATGGCTGCTCAAGTCACGGCTGAGTCCTACTCATTCGAAAGCAACCGAAGCCTCAACTCCATCGTGAGGCATATCAAGAAAACAGGTGAAATGCGACTCACATTTCTCAAGCTCGACCATGACACGCTACGTCTAGTTGTATATGCAAACTCTTCGTTCAATAATCGAGAGGAGAGTAGATCTCAACTCGGTTTTATCATCGTACTCGCGGATAAGTCAGAGAAGTGTGCAGTCCTGCACTACGCATCATACAAATCGCGTCGTGTCGCACGCTCAAGCATGGGAGGAGAGAAACTTGCATTCGTAGACGCTTTCGACTGTTCTTTCTTATTGAGACATGATATTTCTCGCATGTTGGGGCGTCACATCCCCTTAATTATGCTCACGGATAGCAAAATCCTTTTTGATGTGCTGACAAGGTCCAGGTACACCTCCGAAAGAAGACTCATGGTGGACATCTCCGCCTCCCGTCAAGCTTACCGTGAGGGATCGATATCGGATGTAGCTCTAATACCAAGTGAAGACAATGTCGCTGATGCATTTACCAAGGTCTGCAGCAACGGAGCGCTAAACCGGTTACTTCGCTCTGGAAAGCTACAACACCGCGTCACTCAATGGGTCATCCGCTCGAAGAGTCCTCTCGCGCCTTGCCGTCCTCTGACATCAAAGACTGGGCAGTGATGAAACAGGGATCTCGGACGCCGCCGATCATGTCAGTCGGCGACAAGAAGATTACAGTAACACCCCTCGGAGAGTCAGCCGGATCCTGATCGCTTCTCCCAGGATCCCGATCAACAGTACAGTGCCTCCGCCAGATCCCGAACAGAGAAACTGTCTCTGCCTTTCGCTTCAGTTTTTTAGTATCACAACCTCCTCCAGCACCGAAGAGGAGAGAACACACAGACGAACGACTCACAGAATAAACTCAACCAACTTACGCGAGAAGACCCTCGCCCGGCAGGAGCCTGCCCTCAACCCCCGGCGTTGTAACGCCCTCAAAACCGCCCGTACACGCACTAACCCTCTGCAGAATCTTAACGATTCATTGTTACACACACTGAAGAGATCATTCTCTTCTCCCAATATTGATGCTACAACAATATTGCCGTGCTTACACTGCAAATAACGTAGCATACATCCACATCCCCTGTCCTTTGTTTGCGCATGAACCTTGAGCAGTGTACTTAAGCTGAACTCCCTCGCGTCGCTTTGTAGAGGCCAGGGCCTTAGCACAGCACTACCTTAGCATCGGATAAAAGCAAACCTAAGGCACTTTTCCTACTTGCTGTAACCCTCAACTCGCCGCCTTCATACTTCACTCAGCCTGCCCCTCTAACTAAATGGAATGGCGCTGGGTTTTTGATCACACCGCGTGGGGAGAGCAAGGGTCTTCCCTGCGGACCGTCCATTATCAGTTTAATCATTTTTGGGGCATGTTGGACGTCAAGAAGGAACTGACACTCGAACCGTATGGAGCATGTCGCACAACGAGCACGGATAGTGCACGTGGGAACGCAATCGGAAGAGAACGAAGAACCCATATTGGGGAGCCAGACAGACAGCAATGACACCTAAAGTCACCCGGACCGCATGAAGGTGGCATGCTGGTCCCAAGATGAACTTCGTCGAGGCTAAGGCAAACCACCTCATCACTGATTCCGAATCAGCAACTACACCAAGTTTCGCTAGTCGCACCTCTACGCCTTTTCAGTTCCAAATGAGACCTGCTAAATAGGGCATGCACAGTGCACAACCAACCATCCTGTCTGCCAAGGAAACACTATCCGCTTCAGGCCTCGTTCCCCTTCTATTATTTCGTCGCACAACGAGCTGAATCAGCTCACATTCTTGTGTCCGGCGAACATCTGAAGAGATCATTCCCACGCCGTACACCAAAAGCAACTGCATCGACGAAGCCAACATATTTCTCCAAAACACAGATGTCGTTTTACATTGTTTACTTATCGTAGAAAGGAAAGAGATTCTGGGCCACGTCTTTGCGAACTGAAGACCTTACCTAAACCTACGGATAATGATGATGATAATCCAGTCCCACCAGATGATAATAATCCTAATGCGCAACAGGAAGCGCCCAAAGAAACTGCGGCTGCCAGCCTTCTCGGCAAGACTCGCAAGCTCTAAGGCTGTCCTCCTCATCAACATGCACGTCTCCATAGCCACCGGTAACAACCTCCTGTTGCGAAGAGACCTGGCAGGTAGTGTTGAAGACATGCGCATGAGCTTGAGAATCGAATTCCGATTCATGTCCCCCACGAGGTCTTCTACATCTTCGTCGGTCATCAGTTCATTTTCAGAGACTCGAACAGTGTCCGCGGGAGCGACAAGGGTTCCATCTTCAATGTTGTCAGTTCCAGCTGCGAATGTCAAGAGGGCCACAAAGAGAAGGACTGAAATGGAGGTTCTCATCTTGCGTTTCGGAGATGCGGTTGCTTCACAAAGGTACGGCTGCGGTTGGTAAGGTGAACTGACTGCGCACTTCAGCACGGAAGCATGTAGTAGCTTAAATAGGCACAACTACGTTACCCAGTACCATGCACTCGTAGGTGGAGGATGCGCTTTCGTCTTTTTGCAGATACTCCCAAATCTACCTCACCGTTTTCGGGCAGACCCCACTGGAACTATGATAGAGAGTAAAGATGTCCAATGCCACAGACCAATTAGAGGTCCGTCCGCCGGACCTACACTACCCTCGTCTGTACAAAAGCTCCGTTCTTGATTAGGAGGTTCTGATTGTACGTTCACAATACTAACGTTTCTGGACGACCCCATTCTTCGAAACAGATTGCGTAGGGCATCAAGATATCCGGAACCCTTGTTGGTCCTCATAAACGACAAAAATCTAGCTGGACACCCCATGTCAATGTGGTCTTTGCAGTCTTGAAGATTTGTATCCGAAGCTTATTTTCTTTGAACAACGTTTTTACGTTGTTTGGGCCACAGGTTTTGAGTTTGTTTATGTCAAAGGCAAACAAATAGCCCCCTGCACCTTACGGAAATCGAAAAGAATGCAAGCTACATTGTCATCGTTGAGCCCGTTCATCCTTCGATCATGGACACACCACCGAGCCCTACCGGAACATTTCATCTACTGAAGATCAATTTGGTAAAATCATATCGCAGCACTAACTCAAAGAGTCGGCGGATATCTGTAAAGGACTGCACATGGATGCACGATCGCTACCACTTCAAAGGTGCACCCTATCGCACGCACCCCCTACTACTGGAAGACGAATCAGCTCAAATCTGCTCTGATCAAGCGATCGACATTGTTATCGTACTAATACAGAAAATTGAGGATCGCTGAATTGAAAAGCCACGTTGCGGCCCTCTTCGAACGCAAACGAGAGGCCACCTCATCGTAGGACGCATGTTGAGTTCGGCAACGGCTTTAACGAGTTTGACCCGATTCAATCTGCCGCTCAGTCCCCAAAGTGATTTCATAAATGCGGCTCTCTTGAGTCGTTGAAGTAAAAGACAACTTCCGTCTCGATTTTTTCTGCTTGACAATCGCATATCTGAAAGGGGCTGAGATTGTAGGTCGTGTCAGGAAGCTTACAGTAAAGAGAGTAGGTGCCCGCTCGTTGAGACCAATGGAGATCAGCGACGTGCAGATTTGCCTCCCAGTGGTGCCTGAGATTCATTCTTGTACAAGGTATGATGCGCATGCGCTAAACTCAGGTCCTCTCTCCTGAACAGCAAAAGATTCTCCTGTGCGGGGTGGTTGCAGCTTCCCCGGAAGGGCATCCGCAAGAAAGGCGAAGGGGTGATATGGACACGCCCTGCGAGAAAGGGATTGCAGTTGGGAACGCGGCAAAGTCTGCATTTATTCCGCAAGCCCTCCCGCGTCGGGTCAAATGCGTCCGACCCCGAAGAATATCTGACGCAGAGACGTGGCACCCCTTTCAAGACTTCAAGAAAGTATGAGAATTCTGGCTGCTCCCCAAAGAGGCAGTCAAATTTTGTACACCGCCTTGCGTGTGTGCACTGCATGTGGCCGTAGTACCGTACGGTCACAGATCGGCACTGCAGATCTGATGCAGGTTATACTGTAAGCAATCTGTGCACCACACGGCCCATCTGGGTGCAATTCAGATGCCTGACATCACCCCGCTTTTCGGTTGCCCTTGCAACCAAACAACTGGAAAAGCTCTCTCCGAGCACTGCGGTGCGGTAAGCATGTGACCTACAAGTATGCTTCCACTCCCGTTTTAGTCATTTATATCACGGGAGAGAGACACTTTTCGCAACAGTGCAGTTTCTTGTGGACGCAGGACATGCCACATACCGTAGTCGTGGCCTCGACGTGGCTCTCATTATGGGAAAAGCCTACCCATGTGATATTTTTCGATATGTAGAGGGGGCGAGGCATTTCCTGCAGAGTTAACGCTGTTGGATGAGGAATACTACCCATTAGAATAAGACCTCGTAGTCTTGGTGCATCCAAATCTCTCTGCCCCTTCCAGCACGTTTCAGCAAGAAGGGTATTGCCTTCTCTAATTCCACACAAGCAAGGACCATGCCCTGCTGACTGAAAATGATGCAAAGGCGTACACGACGCGGTAAGACTGGGAGTTTTCAAGATAAGAAATATTACATACCCCTGAACATTCTTTCAAAATCAGGAGGCTTTTATCTGCCTTATTATGATTCAAAGAGTTGCACATACTGTAGAGTATCACATCGAGATAAACATTTAGGGCTTCCACAGGAAGTATTGTCAGGTTGGGTATGTTGTACAACGTGCTTCAAGGCTTCGTGTCAGGGGCCAGCACAACCTAGAGCTTGGTCGGATGGATGGATCTATCCGACCAAGCGTTATCATATCATAAAAATCTGCGAATTCTATTTCTATTCAACTTTGATGTCCACGGTTTCAATTTTTCTTTGGTAGGTTAACTCGTCTTTAAATTTTCTGAAGTTGGAGACGGATAGGAAGCCCTCAACGCAATGTTTATATGCTGCAGTACTGGTATAAAATTGGCTTAAAGAAAATGTGCACTTTAAGCCGACTTTTTCTTTTGAACAGCTTTACGTGCGTCAAAGATTTAATTTTCTCTATAATTGACGAGCAAGTGCTTTACCTGTGCCCAGGGACTTTTAGTTCCTTGTCCTCATATGAGGACCAACGGTCCGATAGACCCTTGACGACAAGCGACTTGCCTCATACTGCATGAGGTCAGGCATGGCCTCCTATGAGGCCAGTTTTTTGCAAAAATATACACATTAAATCGAACCTCTGTAAAATCAGCTTGTACGTCATTTCTTTAACGTAGATGCCCTCGGCAATTACATCTTGCAAAACAGTGAGATAGTATTTGTCAATACACAGAAAGACCAAGGATATAATGAAATTTCAATTTTGGTTGACATTTTAAACAGCCGTTTTGGTTTCGAAGATATCAACACATAACGTTTTGAGGTTGGTCAGAAAGGCTTCTTTTGTAGGCATTCTAAAATGGCTGGAAAAGATGTGCAGATCCTACCAAACTGTACCCTTCCGCAACGCAGAAGTCAGCGGCAGTGGCAAGAGTATATTTTTCCTTCTTGTTCAGCATGGGCAAGTCAAGAAAAAATAAGTTGAAAAGTAGCCTCATACGAGATTACTTCTCGTCTAGGCATCAGAGAGCAAGTTTTACTGCCAGTGGCTTAAGCAGCCTAAAAGTGTGTAAGCAATTACAATTCCGGAGATGGTACGCCAAACGCAGCGATATCATTCGTAAATTGTGGGTTTACGCACGGCAGAATTCTGTAACTAAAAATGAGAAATAGAAAAACAGCAATGCAGAAATCTTATTCCTGAAAAATCATTGCAGAAAATTTTAAAGCCGTTTACGCTACAGTTAGTGAGAACCAGTTGTGAGTATTATATCTGACCCTCTGAGTAGTAGTCCTCCCCCTTCGCCAAATTCTCAACAACATGACAAGGGGACGCCAGCGCGATCATACTGTGAAATTTACCGAGCGTCGAGCATCGCAATGGAATGCTGTTTTTCTAGCAATTGGTAGGCGACGAATGATGCAGAACGAATATGCTTTCACGTCTACAAATTCCTTAATGCGAGTTGCCTACACTACATGGAGAGAGAAGAAGGAAGTCGAGCTGTTGCTTGCGAGAAGAAGACGAATCAGTTCAAGCGCGTTTAGTTTCAACTTCAACGGTCTAACGGACGGGGACGCACTGCTACATTTCAGATTCCGTAAGGAAGATATCATTAGAATGATAAGCGCAGTTTCTTGGCCCACACAAAAGCGAACGATAGAGCGAAACAGATTCAGCGTCACACCTCTACTAGCGACCTGTGTCATACTGAGACGTCTGGCGTCACCAGCCAGGTGGAAAGACCTCGAGATTCTGTTTGGGAAGCACGCATCTCAGATGTCAGAGATATTTTGGGAGGGCCTAGAGCATATGTTGGAAGCAAGACTCGACCTCATAAAAGGATCCATAAGCCCACAGTACATGCATCTAAATGCGGAACGGTATGCCACGGCAGTTCAGGACAAGTGTCGAGCCCTCGCCAACTGTGTCGGTTTCATAGACGGCACAGTGATTGGCATTGCAAGACCGAAGGGATATGCCAGTCAAAGAATTGCGTACAATGGGCACAAACGAAAGCATGCTCTCAAGTTTCAGGCTGTAAACAGTCCTGATGGACTCATAATGCATGTCCATGGTCCCATAGAAGGTCCACGCCACGATTGGACGCTGTACATGAGAAGTGCGCTTGACACGCATCTACCTGAGGTACTCGATGTAGGGGGAAAGAGGTACTGTATCTTCGGAGATTCAGAATACAATCGTCGGTGGTTCATGGAAATTCCGTTTCAGGGAAGCAATTTATCGGCGCAGCAAGTCGCATTCAACAAGGCTATGTGTTCTGCTCGCATAACTGTAGAGTGGATATTCAAAGAGGTCAAGCTCTACTTTACGACGGTGGACTTCAAGCGAAAGATGAAGGTGTTCGAGTCTCCGGTTGGGTCCCTTTACCTGGCGGCGATGCTTCTCAGTAATATGCGCAACTGCATCTATCGAAACCAGGTAGCTGCGTACTTCAATTGCACGGCGCCAACTCTGGAAGACTACCTATCCCATAGGGATTAGACTGGGTAGTCTCGCTCCTCGGCCGCCCGCGCGGACGAGGAACGAGGACCAAGTCCGCGAATGCGAGCTTGCGAGCTTTAGCGCGGACTTCGTCCGCAGCCCCGCAGGGAGCCCCGCGCGAGCGGAAAACCGGGGGACAAAGTAGGCGAAAAGGCATTTTTCTTTAGTAAACAACATTTGAAAGCGGGTTTAAAAGCCCTTTCTTTACTTTCTATTAAGAGCCTCTATCAGAAGTTTATACTTAGCCAACTCTAGCTCCTGCATCTTCTCGCGCTCCTCGCGTCGCTCCTCCCGCTCGCGTTCG